AACCTCCACGTAATCCCAAGGGGTTCACATGATTTTTCTTGCAACTGTAAGACTTGGATGCAGCTGCTCGGCCATGGAAACGCATTCCATGAAGCTCTCTGTGCACTGTTGTGCTAATCCGAAGGCCATATGAAGTTTGGAGGTCTTTAGCTATTGACTCTGCAGACACTGTGCGCTTCAGCATGTGCTGACACTGCTCTGTAATTTTACGTGGCCTACCACTTTGTGGCTGAGTTGCTGTTGTAACCAGTTGCTTCTACTTTTTTATAATAGCACTAACAGTTGGCAGTGGAATATTTAGTAGCAAAGAAATTTCACAGATGGATTTATTGTACAGGTGGCAACCTGTGGTACCATGCTTGAATTCACTGAGCTCCTGAGAGTGACCCATTCTTTCACAAATGTTTGTAGAAGCAGTCTGCATGCCTAGGTGCTTGATTTTATACACCTGTTACCATGGAGGTGATTGGAACACCTGAATCCAATGATTTGGAGGGGTGTACCTATACTTTTGGTAATATAGTGTATATTAACTGTACCGCCAGACCATTAGTGCAGGTATGCACACCAAGGGTAACAGTGTCTCACCCACTCCGCAAAGCCCACCACATCTGGTACCTCACTTCCGGTTCTGATGTCACATCCAACTGTTGTGGCTGCACGGTGAATAGCGACAGGGTCATGGGCTGCCAAGGCTCATTGATGCATACGGGGAGTTGGCTGGTCTAAGTGCTATTGTAGCTCAAATTGCTACAATGGGCACATGAGCATCAGAACTGGACCAGGGAGCAATGAAAGAATGTGACCTGGTCTGATGAATTAAAAAAATGGTTTTAGAACACAACAGTGAGTTTGAGGTGTTGACTTGGCTTTGAAATTCTCCAGATCTCAGTCCAATGAAGCATCTGTGGGATGTTCCAGAAAGTCTGATCTATGAGGCTGCACCTCACAACTTACAGGATTTAAAGTATCTACTACTGATGGTTTGGTGCCAATTACCAATTGTTTGTGTGTGTACCTGCTGTACCCAGAGCTTAGAGGATAGGTGTAAGTACTCTCCCTCCTCTGAATCACCCTTGTCTGTGCCTTTACCCACTTCTGAGCACCACCTCTTGTCTCCACCCCCTAACCACCTACCAGTACCAACCCTTTTAGAAATTACAGAACCAAGTAATTTGTGTGAAATGTGTAATGATAACAAAAAAGGCAGTAAAACAGATCCCCTGCAACCAGTAACAATAGATCCTACAGCAGCAATATATCACCCCAGCAACAATATCCCCCCAGCAAAAATAGATCTCCTTCAGGAACAATAGACCTCCCAACAACAATAGACACCCACAACAACAAAACAACCTCTCCAGCAATATTAGACAACCCCACAACAATAGATCCCCCAGCAACAATAGACCATCCCCAGCAACAATAGATCCTCTCAAGCAGCAATAGATCTTCCCAACGCCAATAGTTCCCCCAGCAACAATAGATGCACCAGCAACACTACACACACCTAGCAATGATAAATTGGCATCAATAGACCCTCCAGTACACCAAAGTTCCCCTTGCCCATACATACATTCAGTTCTGGAGGTGTCAAAACTGCATACTACCATGTTCAAGTTGAAAAAAGCCCTGGCTGTACATAAACATTAATGTGATATTAACCCCTTCCCACCCAGCCCTGGTGTTTCTTTAACTGGGTAAAAAAAATAAAGGCGTACCCTATCACATGACCACTGTGATTGGTTGTCACAGTGGTAACATGATTGCAATCCAATTCTTTAGGATCCTGTTTATTACTATAGACCAGGAACTGTCTTTGACGGATCAGTTAGTGTGCTAAGAGCATGCAATCAGTGCTCTCTTAGCACAGAAACATCATCCATCCATGGATGCGTATGTGAGATGAGTGGGCATTAAAGCCCACCCTCTTATTCACTGCACATACTGTACATCATCAAGTGCAATGCAAAATGTCAGATGCAGTGGTGTAAAGCATATCGCCACTGGACTCTAAAGTAGTGGAGACGTGTTCTCTGAAGTGATGAATCACGTTTCTCTGTCTGGCAATGCGACGGATGTGTCTGGGTTTGGTACTTGCCTTGCTACATTATACCAAGTGTAAAGTTTGGGGGAGGGAGGATTATGGTGTGGGATTGTTTTTCAGGGGTTGGGCTTGGCCCCTTAGTTCTAGTGAAGGGAACTCTTAAGGCGTCAGCATAGCAAGACATTTTGGACAATTTCATGCTCCAAACTTTGTGGGAAGAGTTTGGGGATGGTCCCTTCCTGTTCCAACATGACTGCACAAAGCAAGGTCCATAAAGACATGGATGAGAGAGTTCGAAATGGAGGAACTTGTCTGGCCTGCACAAAGTCCTGACTTCAACCCAATAGAACACATTTGGGATGAATTAGAGCAGAGAATACGAGCCAGGCCTTCTCATCCAACATCAGTGCCTGACCTCACAAATGTGCTTCTGAATGAATGGTAAAGAATTCCCATAGACACACTCCTAAACCTTGTGGACAGCCTTCCCAAAAGAGTTGAAGCTGTTATAGCTGCAAAGGGTGGGTCAACTCAATATTGAATACTACAGACTAAGCTTGGGATGCCATTAAAGTTCATGTGTGTGTAAAGACAGGTGTCCCAATACTTTCGGCAATATAGTTTATATTGGAGAGATTATCTGATGGGCCAGTTTATTATTTGGTTGCTTGTGAGTGGCTTTTTAATTTAGGTGATTTTATTGAATTGCACTATTGGAGATTTTTTCAACTACATGTCTGAAATGAGTGAGTTGCTGAGCAGAGGGGATGATGATGGATGGATGCACTTGGTTAGCAACAGATCTACTACTAGTTTCAAGCACTACAATGCTGATTACGAGAATGAGAGGCATAAAGTTCTGGTGAGTCCCAGCCTGTGGGGAGAGGGTTCTCACTGAATTATGTGATGAGAGGTTGACTGTTACTGAGTGCACTGGAATTAAGATGTATGTGGACTTTGCATCACAGTTTGTGGATTGTATATGTCATATTTTTGTGGACTTTACTTCACTACCTTTATGGGTAGACTTTATTTGTGTGGGTAAAGTGATACTAAAGGTTAGACTTTTTTAAAAATAACAAACATGTCATACTTACTTGCTCTGTGCAATGGTTTTGCACAGAGCAGCGCAGATCCTCCTCTTCTTAGGTCCCTGGCCAGTGCTCCTGCCCCCCCACTCCCGCTGTGTGCCCCCTCAATCCTAAGCTGCCTATGTGTGTCTATTAGACACATAGAGTGTGGCTCGGCTCCACCCCTACTCCCTCCTCACTGGCTTTGATTGACAGCAGTGTCTCAGCCAATGAGGACTGAAGGACCTGGGAAAGCCGAAGCACATGGAATTGGTACCATTTGTATGAAGATATAAAATATGCAAAATACGTGTGAACAAGGTGTCAATGAATTAAAGTGTCTGTTCACCAATGCCAGAAGTCTGCCAATCAAAATAGGTGAGTTGGAAGCTTTGGTGTATGAAGAGAACTATGATTTAATTGGTATTGCTGAATCTTGGCTTCATTCTTCACATGACTGGGCCATTAATATTCCTGGCTATGTTCTCTTTCATAAAGACAGGGTAAATAGGAAAGGTGGTGGTGTCTGTCTCTATGTGAGAAGTGATCTCAGAGCGAGTGTGAAAGAGGACCTAGTTGATGGAGAGTGTGATGAGGCTGAAGTATTAAGGGTGGAACTGCACATGGGGGTGCGTACTACAAAGGTAATCATTTGGAGTTTGTTATAGGCCTCCCAGTGTTAATGAGGAGGTGGAGACTCAGCTCCTTGCAAAGATCAAAAGGACTTCAAGGGCTGGAACAGCGATAATAATGGGGGGTTTTAACTACCCGGAAATTGAGTGGAGTAATGATACTGCAGGAACAGTTAAAGGGCAAATATTGTTAAACCTACTACAGGACAATTTTATGGTACAATTCATAGAGGCCCCTACTAGGAATGATGCTCTGCTGGACCTGGTAATCTCAAACCATGCAGAGCTTATTACGAATGTCCATATAAAAGAACATCTGGGTAGCAGTGACCATAACATGATTTCATTTATTGTTAGCTGTAAACAGCAAGCACATACGGGAAAAATAAAAACGCTCAATTTTAAAAGAGCAAATTTTCCAAGGCTGAGAGCTGCTCTCCATGGCTTACACTGAGAGTGAATATTGGAATCAATGAACACAACACAGAAATGGGAGTTCTTCAAAAAGACTGCATGTGAACACACTGAAAAATATATTCCCATGGGCAAAAAGTTTAAAAGGATAAAAATCAAGTCTATGTGGCTTACGGACAAAGTTAAAAAAGCTAAAGACAATAAGAAAAGAGCTTTTATTAAATATAAAAATGAAGGAACGCTATCATTGTTTAAACATTACAAAGAATATAACAGAATATGTATAAAAGAAATAAAGGCTGCAAAAATTGAAAACGAACGACAGATTGCAAAAGATAGCAGGACCAACCCCCAAAAATTCTTCAAATATATTAATAGTAAAAAGGTCCAGTCCGAGCATGTAGGCCCTTTACAAAATAATCTAGAGTGGGTGACTGGGGACAAAGAGAAGGCAAATGTATTAAATACCTTCAGCTCTGTGTATACAAAGGAGCATGGGGGAGCTCTTGTCCATAATGGATATGGTATTGACACAGCCGCAGATGATCCACATTGGCTCACAACTGATATGATATTTCGACAGAATAAAGGTGAATAAAGCACCTAGACCAGATGGCATACACAAAAACTGGTCCTTAACCACCTTCCGCCCACCCTATAGTACAATGACGGGCGCAAGGTGGTTCTCTCGTTCTGATAGGTTGTCATATGACGTCCTACCATTCTCACTGCGCATGCACGGCTCAGGGAGCGCACAGCGCGGCGATCGCCGGTGCGCTGTGTCCCTCGGACACAGCGGATCATGGAAAGAGCCGAAGATGTCGGCTCGGTCATGTGATCAGCTGTGTCCAATCACAGCTGATCACATGTAAACACGGAAATTCCGGTTATCGGCATTTCTCTCCTCTCGAGCTGTCACGCTGACAGCTTGAGAGGAGAGCCGGTAATCGGCTTTCCGTGGAGGGCACATGTACACTGATCTTCAGGGCACTGATGATCAGTGTGCCCTGATGATCAGTGTGGACCCAGAAGTGCCACCTGTCAGTGCTCATCAGTGCCACGTGCCAGTGCCCATCAGTGCCACGTGCCAGTGCCCATCAGTGCCACATCAATGCCACATATCAGTGCATACCAGTGCACATCAATGCCACATATCAGTGCCCATCTGAGCTGCCTTTCGATGTCACCCATCAGTGCCAGTCAGTGCCACCTATCAATGCCAATCAGTGCCACCTATCAGTGCTGCCAAACAGTGCCACCTACCAGTGCCAGTCAGTGTTGCCTATCAGTGCGCATCAGTGCCACCTATCAGTGCCAGTCAGTGCCGCCTATCGGTGCCAGTCAGTGCCGCCTATCAGTGCCAGTCAGTGCCGCCTATCAGTGCCAGTCAGTGCTGCCTATCAGTGCCATATATCAGTGTCATGTATCAGTGCTGCCTTTCAGTGCCCATCAGTGCTGCCTTTCAGTGCCCATCAGTGCAGCCTATCAGTGCCCATCACTGCAGCCTCATTAGCGCACATCAGTGAAGGAGAAAAATCACTTATTTACAAAATTGTATAACAAAAACTAAGAAAAAAATGGGTTTTTTTTCAAAATTTTCAGTGGTTTTTGGTTTGTTTAAGAAAAAATAAATATTCACAGAGGTGATTACCACCAAAAGAAAGCTCTGTCTCAAAAAAATGATAAAAATTTCATATGGGTACAGTGTTGCATGACTGCGCAATTGTCATTCAAAGTCTGACAGCGCTGAAAGCTGGAAATTGGCCTGGGCAGGAAGGGGGTATAAGTGCCCTGTAGGCTAGTGGTTAAAGAATTGAGCTCTTTCATTTCAAAGCCATTGTTTCTAATTTTTAGGGACTCCTTAATGATTGGCATAGTACCACTGAATTGGCATAAGGCCAATGTGGTGCCAATATCTAAAAAGGGTCAAAATCTTTACCAAGTAATTATAGACCTGTTAGTTTAACTTCTATAGTTGGGAAGATACTGGAGAGTTTTGTAAAAGACAACATAAATGAGTTCTTGCTGGAAAAAAATATTTTAAGCAACAAACAGCAGTGGTAGTGGTATTATAACAAAGGGGAAGCACCTGAGAACAACAGCAACTCAGCCATGAAGTGGTAGGCCACATAAAATGACAGAGTGGGGTCAGTGCATGCTGAAGTGCACAGTGCGCAGAAGTCGTCGACTGTCTGCAGAGTCAATAGCTAAAGATCTTCAAACTTCGTGTGGCCTTCAGATTAGCACAACAGTGCATAGAGAGCTTCATGGAATGGGTTTCCATGGCCGAGCAGCTACATCCAAGCCTTAGATCACCAAGTGCAATGCAAAGTGTTGAATACAGTGGTGTAAAGCACACCGCCACTGGACTTTGGAGTGGTGGAGACATGTTCTCTAGAGTGACCAATCACCCTTCTCTGTCTGGCAATCCAATGGATGTGTCTGGGTTTGTAGGTTGCCAGGAGAACAGTACTTGCCTGACTGCATTGTGCCAAGTGTTAAGTTTGGCAGAGAGGGGATTATGGTGTGGGGTTGTTTTTCAGGTGTTGGGCTTGGCACCTTAGTTCTACTTACTTCCAGAACACTGAAGGCATCAGCATACAAAGACATTTTGGACAATTTCATGTTCCCAACTTTGTGGGAAGAGTTTAGGGATGGCCCCTTTGTGTTCCAACATGACTGCACACCAGTGCACAAAGCAAGGTCCATAAATACATGGATGAGTGAGTTTGGGTTGGAGGAACTTGACTGGCCTGCACAGAGTCCTGACCTCAACCCCATTTGGGATGAATTAGAGTGGAGACTGCCAACCAGGCCTTCTCATCAGTACCTGACCTCACAAATGCACTTCTGAAAGAATGGTCCAACATTCCCATAGACACTCCTAAACCTTGTGGACAGCCTTCCCTGAAGAGTTAAAGCTGTTATAGCTGCAAAGAGTGGGCCAACTCAGTATTGAACCTTACGGACTAAGGATGGGACGCCATTATACTGTAAAGCGCTAAGCAAACTGTTGGTGCTATATAAATCCTGTATACTGACAATAATAATAATAATAATTAAAGTTCATGTACGGGTAAAAGCAGGCGTCCCAATACTTTTGGCAATATAGCGTACTTGTAGGTGAATTCTACAGGGAAGGGGACCTGGGCATCATCAGGGAACTCTGTATTGTTCTCCACAATAAATGAGGATATAAAAATATATAAATATTTGAAATTGAAGAAAGGAATGTATGTATGTAAATCATGTACAGTAAGGTGCCGACACATTCCCAGCCATGTGGACACAATGCAGGTATTTCACAGCACACTATAGATGGGGTACTTCATATATTGTCACAATAAAAGCTCCGAGCAGTCCGGCAGGCACATGAAGCAGACAGGGCAGCGGCGGGGATGAGGGTCTGGCCGCCCGGAGCCCTCTTTGTGAATCGGAGCTGTATGCAGAAGACGGCATTCACAGGACAAAGAGAAAGTTCTCCTCTCCCGGTAGATGGCGCTGCTCAAGTCAACAGATCCAACGTGTGTAATAAGTGAAAACAGTGATCTCCATACATACACACAGCCGGGTCCCTCCTCCTCCCTTCTCCTCCTCCTCCTCCTCCGCCGCCAGTCATCGCACGGGGCAGCCATTCCGAGGGCTGGGGAGAATCGCCTTCCCTGCCAGGTCCCCCCTTTCCCCCTGTGAGCAGGAGAACATCAACAGTCCGCCAAGTTACAGAGATAATCCGGTGGGAGAGGAAAACAAGGGAAGAGAGCCAGGGGGCACCGCGCGCGCGCAGCCCAAACTAGTGCGAAGAATCTATTGGCTACTTTGTTCGGCGCTCCGTGCCGCTGCGTGTGGTGTCCGCGGAGCCCGGCTGAGGAGCGGAATTGTCATCCATGTGTCTGGAGTGCGCTGTGCTCTGAACGGAAGGGGGTTTGGGTGTGAGATCTTTGTCAGTCTTTCTTTTCTGCTCTTGGACATACTACCAGGCTGGAGTTTCCTTGATGTGTGCAGTGCAATGGATGTGAGGTTTTATCCACCACCAGCACAGGCGGCTGCAGCTCCCGACACCCCCTGTTTGGGACCATCCCCCTGTTTGGACCCCTACTATTGTAACAAGGTGATTTCATGTCTTTTTTTTTTCTCATGATTATTTCCTTTGCTTTGCTGTCTCTCCGCCCTGCTTCTTTTCCTATGCATGCACACAAAGCCATGCACTGTATGCTCACTACTTACTATTGCTGCAGATTGGAACCCCCTAGAATTGCCTGACCTGGACTTTGCACTTGATGTGCTGGATGATCTGTTTAGGATAAGGGGGGGGGGGGGGGCACACAAGATCTCCCATTAAATTAGGATCACTCCAGATTATAGATCTTCCCTTCTACCTAATGAGCTGAGTTTCTCTATTGTGACATTTGCTCTGTGATCTCATTGACAGCATCCACTTTACATTTACTGCCTGCAGATAACTACAAGCATTTCTTAGCTATTGCTGCTGCTGTTGTCCAGATAGGTTTTTGGTGAGTTTTTTATGTGTCACCTAGAGGTGATTGTAACCATATTAGTGCACTTGCGACATACCCCGAAAGCTTGTCCTCAAAATTGTATGTTAGTGCAAATAAAAAAAGTATCAGGTCAGTACTCAATTGTTTATGTGTCACCTAGAATGTTATCCTTCTTTTGATCTACTTTACTACTGAGTGACCATGTGACTTGTGATGTTGTCATTATGGGATCTAGGCTTGTTTTGTGCTGGGCTTGTGGTGCCTAATGGTCTCCCACTGCAAACATCACAAGGCAAGAAGTGTGTTAAACATCCCTGAGCTCAAGCCAACGGTCATTATTTATGACTATTATTATATTCATTGGCCAGGATGGCCGCCTTGGGATTTAAGTTGCTCAGAGTCTCTTTGGAAGTCTCCTGTCGTTTGATTTCTTGACTGAGACCCCATTGCTCCATCTCTGTAGGGTGGCAGCAGGGAAATCTATGCATGAATTACACTCTGCTGCACTGATGTGATGAGGTTTGTGTGCATGAATAAAAATAGCTTGTTTAGCACAAAACACTTACATGACAAGGGCAGCTTTCCAGGCGTACGGCTGTGCCAGGGAAAGTGCTGTGTGGGACTTGCACATTAAAAGTTTGGCATTGCTTGTTCGGAGTGGTCTTGCTACTGTTCACTTGTTAACAGTCATAATTACTCTGCAATAAAAAAAAAAAAAGTCAATTAGGCAGGCATTCATTTTAACAGAATACGCGATGTCCTCGCACGTACAGTCTTTTTACACTTACTTTATTATTTTTTAATGATTGGCGGCAATAAATTAATATATGTACATCAATGGCGGTTTTAAGTTTTGCATCAGATGCCTTATGTTTAGACACTGATGACCTTCCATCTTCTACAGTCGCTGAATCTGCACAATGTATTTGTAGTAATTGGCATTTAGTGGACTGTGTACCTTCATTTAAGCGTGTTGCTGATACATTCCTGTGTCCATTACTGCGTACTGTAAATCCAACATATCTCTGTAGTGGTGCATTTACTACATAGCGCCTAAAGCATCTAAATTCTTTCCACTTTCAAAGGATTTGCTGAAACAACCTTCCTAATCAGGTTTCTGCTAATGCAAATGATTGTTGCAGTGCACAGAGGCTAGCGGTTTTCATAACACACATTAAATAAAAATGGATCAGAAGACAATGCAGGGTGCATTATGCTACATTTCAGCCTGGCAATGAGGAATATTTCTAATTTGTTTAGAAAATAGGCTTCTGTTATAATTGCTTTCATCACAAATGTACTTAAATGTAACAATATCTCAGTAATGTAATTGAGTTCAGTGACCTTACAGGCTGTAACAAGATATGTCATCAACATTAGAAAAGTCACTAATTACTATACCTCCAACACAGTACTTCAAGGAGAGCAGTTACATCATATCTGTAATTACAATCATTTCTTCCATGTACTAGAAAACTGATTCTATTTTATGTCATAATGTCTCCACTAGATCCTTACTCCATTAATACAGTAGGTTATATGAAGAGGCTTTTGCCCTTGAGTAACAATTCATTTGTAGACATGGATCAGAAAGCACTACACTACATTTAATACAAAGCATAAACAATTGTACCATACTAGGAATGGATTTTATTCTGTTGTTTCCATTTTCAAGACATCACTGTGTTTTCTTTGCTGTGTTGAGTGTTTTTTTAAGACTGTTTTTTTATTTTGTATACACTTA